GTCTTCATTTGTAATTTAGGTACTGGAGAGAATAACTTTCCAGAAAATTTTAATAGTTTAAATAATTATTACAAAGCCTAATAAAGTGAAGGCAAGACTGCTGAATTTTAAAAATAATAATAATAATAATAATATATGTAAGATATATATAATGTAATTTTCAATAAAAAATTACTTTTAGCAACTTTTTAATTTATAGCAAAAACATTTTTATTATCGATTTTGATTGGCTAAGAGCAACGATCAAAAAATTGGGCCGGAATTACTCATAATTTTACTAATCGCCTATTAAGTGAAAATTGTTTCTGGGCCAATTTTACCATAATGTGAGCTTATTTTTTTTATAAGTTTCTATAATATTTTTGGAAATGATCTACATACCATCTACCTTTAAGCCAATCAAATCGAATGTCCACCAGATTGATGATGAAAATCATCTCTTTTCTACATGGCTGATTCCGAGATTTCTAATACCACACCACCTTTGGCCTCTTCACATTCTACGACTCCACCTCCTTCTTCACCACCACCTACAGTTTTACAAGCTGCTACTGCTTTTTCAAGTTTACAAGTAGATTTTCCATCAACGATAGTTGCGCGTTCGCAAAGGGCCGATAGCGAACAAGAAGAAATACGTCAAAGTGCTGTCAACGCTTTACACCAATATTCTATTTTAACCATGCATGTCATCGCTAATGAAGAGGTGAGTTTAATATATTTTAATAACTATTACCTGCAAATATTTAAATTTTTTTGCTACAATTTTTTTTTTTTTTTGAAAATAAGTCACCTGCACAAACGAGACTGCGAATGTTGCGGTATGTATGCATTCTTTATTGCTTTTGAGCTTTTTATCTAAAAAAATTTTTTTAATCTTGTTATTTTGATTGTTTCAAAGATATTTAACGGATGGTAAATATTATTTTTTTTTAATTTGTTAACAATTTCAGAATTTGCCTATTTATTATAAATTTACTTTTGATATATTTTTAAAAAATTTTTAATATTAGATACTTGAGAATAAGAATTATATTAGTAATGTAATATTTAATAATAATAAATTTATAAAATTATATATTAAAAATAATTCTTATTAAATAACAAAGATTAGCATCATTCAACAGATTCATTCGTATGTTTTCTAATAATCAGTGATTACCGTCTAAACAGCAATTAAAATACGAAGATCCAGAGAACATGATAAATATTGCTCATATGTTAATCTTTTTTTGTACGGATCAAAATCATGAAATGAAATCAAATATCAAGTAGTTTAAACAAAAATGGAAATTCCACGCAAATTTTAAAAATAGAAAAGTTTTGTGCGATACATATCATACACAGGTAGAAACCAGTATAACTTGTGCATATCACAAGTTAAAGCCATGATAATAAATAATTTTTATATTTAAATCGCATATCGTAATATATATTATAGAATTATGTTTCTTTGATCACACAAAGTGAAATTGCATTTATAGAAATCCCAAGATGAGATCATGAAATAAATCGTCTGTTTAACAAGATTCGAATTAGATATATCACTTCACTTGCCATTAAATCATACTATTAGTTACACTTCGTTAACTGATAATCAATCCATCCAATCCGATTTAAATTCGTTTTATCAATATTTGAACCTGGAATATACTTGTTAATAAAAATTTTAAAAATTTTTTGAATAATTTAAAGTTTTAATATTACATTATTAAAATGTATGCATTTATTTAATGAATTCGGTATTTTTTTAGTTTTACACGATTTACCGAAATGGGATATATATTTGGGTTTTGGTCATGAACCCAAATTAAATAGAAATGCCGATTCTCAAACCCAAACTAAGTAATAATGGCATAATTTAAAAAAAAGGTTTGGGTCGCAACCCTAGGTACATTGTTCCATATTGTTGAGGTCCAGAATAACCAGGATAAAATGCGTTGTTCATCGAAGGACCGGCAGCACCATAGCCCATCCCATAGGGGGGAACATTCATCGGCATAGGTGTGGCCGGAGACATTGTAGGTGGTAATCCCATGATCATTGGTTGAGTCGCAGCAGAAATTGGATGTGCTGGTGTTGTATGGATTGATCCATTAGCTATCACATTCTGCTGTTCATTATGATACATAGGCGTAGTAGCACTAGGAGGACGAACAGCATTTGTAGATCCATAAAATGGGTTACGAGTACTTTCATTCTGTAGATATGCATGGCTTTTGTTTAATGGAAGCATTCCTTTGAATGCTGTTTCACGTATTGGTAACTGTGACATAGCTTTTTCTATGCCTTCGTGAGTTACCAATGCAGATGGTGGAATTTCGGATATCATTTCAGCAAGTCGATTCTGTAACTTTAAACCTTATATATATATATAAAAAAAAAAAAAAAGCTTATCGATTAAGGCATATAATAAGATAGGTACAATTAAACTTTCTTACCTAAATTTCTTTCTTTTTCTGACATATTGTGTGGATCTTTTATAAATCTATCTGTTTGTAATTTTTGTAACTCTAAAAAAATTTCAACATTTTCATCTAATTTTAAATCAAACTGATAAGAATCATCATTTTCAATTAGTTTATACAACATATCTACATCAATGTCCTCAAAATAATTCCCGTTTGTATGATTTGTTAAAATTTCATTCGAATTCTTTAATGGTTTTGATGGAGAACATTGAATCTGTTCAGTGCAATGATCGTTTTCAGCAGAGCAAACGTCCTTGGTCAAATTTGGTGTATTTTGTGATATCAGTCCATTAAAACCTTTTTTAGACAATGGTTCATCCTTATTTCCTGTGCTTATTTTATCGTCCGTGTTTGTAGAATGACTAACTTTGGTTTCATTCATAAGCGTACATGCTGTTACAGTATCTTCATAAGACATTAAGGCATCACGCGAATCATATATTGGAGCGAAAGAACCATAAGGTTTGTACGTGTGAAATTTGACTAAAGCAAAAAAAATAATAATAATAATAAATAAATAAAGATTAATAGAAAAATTTGTTATCCAATAAATGCCTAATTATTTAGGTACTACCTCCAGGAATACCGACTTCCTTTGACCGTATATTTTCTTGCTTTTTAGTCGTATTTGGAAGGATCGACCCTAGGGTTGGAATATCGCGCTCATCCATTGAATGCGACGGAACGATTGTTATCTCTTTAATGTCACCGCCTAGTGAAAGTTAATAAACAAAAGTTATAGCATAATTGTACAAAAATAAATTTTGTCCACAAGCCGTATATACCTATTTTGAATTTTTGGTTTTCTAATGGAAGTTGTTTTAGCGCACTACTTGAAAATAAATGCCCATTCGTCGTTGATTGAACAAGAGCTTTTTTTTGAGGCTTTTTTATAAAAGAATTAACTTTTAAAAGAAAAAAAATTAGATTACGTAAATTAAATAATTAATTTACAACTTTATTATATACTTGCATTCATTTTTACTTATTGAAGGAGTTTCACGGTTTGTATTTGCTATGTCTGTATTTTGTTTAATATTTTGTATTTCTTTCGTAGCTTGTTCTATTAAGCGTAAACCTAATCGAATGAATTCTTTTCCGGAGATGTATTTTTTCTGGTCAACAGACATAGAATTGCTACAAGCACGAATAAAATCAAGCTTAAAGAGTGTAAAGAAAACTCATTAATAACATATTGATAAATCATTAATTACATGGTAAATAAGAGAAATAAAAGAACATTCACTTGAAACTCTTTCAGAGTATTATATTCATTTTTATCGATTTTAGCGCGAATTGTTGTTGAATTTAAAAGCTGCGTTTTCCCTTGACATTTTGAATCTCGTAAAATCTGGTGTGTATCACGACTAGAATTAAAAAAAGCGGTAAGATGAAAATCAGAATTCAGATATTAAACGAATTGATCATTTTCTAACCTCTTATTTTTTTATTTTTTAATAACTGATAATTTTTTTTTTTTTTCAAACCACCATCTCGGACAATAGATCAGAAATCAACTTCAAGAAGCTTGGGTTGTATACTCCATGAAGTATTTAAGTTACAGACTGGTAAAGGAGATGGCAGTTGCCCACCATGACAATTTTTACGAGATTGTCAACAATCTCCTTCACCTCATAAAAAGTAGACTATTCGTATAAAATGAAATAAAGTAAAGTTTACTCACGTCTCCAGTACATCCATTATTTTAATCAACAAGGTTCGAAAATTCTGACCAGTACCATCTTCTATTACTTTTCCGTCATCGGGCTTCGAAATTTCGTCGTTAGAAGTGCGTCGTTGCTTCTTCACCATTTCACCTAGTTTGTTGTCAAACGTAGTAGATGTTTAAGAGTAACACAATAAATGGAATTCAAAGAGTATGCAGGTTTATGAAAAATTTAAGTGGTGTTGAATAGATCTAAATACTAAATAAGATCGTAATCGACAAAGGTAAATCTAGAACACGGTTTTAGAAGCTCGTTTTCTAATTCAACCTTGTCTTGAAAAGATGGAAGATCGGAATAAATCGGTAAACCTTATAATAACCCAAACGTGTCTGTGCTACAAACATGCATACACAGATTTATGAAATTCTTTTTTTAATTGGCTATTATGTTTCTCGAATGATTTTCATAATAATGATAACAATTAACGTTAACTAATATATCGATTTAGCTAAATTTGCGACTAATGCAACTATAGTTAGTATTATAAATTATGTCTGCACACAATATTTACAGGTTGAAACAAAAAATCTAATGATAATAAGTTAATAATCCTGGCAGATCAAATTTTATCGACTATGCTAAGAATGATTAATTTTTATCGGCTTAGCCGGCTTAGTTACTAGTCACTGAAAATTACAACGAATCATTTAAGAGAGTTTGAATTGCGAATAAAAAAAATTTTTTTTATTATGAAACCGTCTATTTATCGAAATAAGAGTTGTTTTGTAATTCGCAAGATTTCAATAAATGCTTTTTTTTGATACAATACATCATTTAATAATCACTTAACTCAAAACTCTTTTATTTAACAGACGTAGAAATATATAATAATTCTCACATTAATTCGATTCATTGACGGATTAATTTTAAGTAACATGAATAAAATTAAGAATATTGAGAATTCATTATTTTCATTATATCTAAAAGCATGAATGCAGTTTGGCATTTAGATTTAGTTCGGCATTCAGACATTGAACATAAATTAGGATCTCAGTTTAAAAACGTAATGGTGACTTGTGGCTTTTACAAAAAAAAAAAACCAATTGAGTTATGAGTGATAGCTACCCTTCCTGATGATAAAAACCATGATAAAAACCATGATTAACAGTCGTGTCAGAAATAAAAATCTAGTCTATTAAATATCAAATTATAGAGCTTCAATCCTATGTTTAAATGATATCCGAATTAATTCGAATTCACTAAATTCGGTAAAATAATCAAAATCACGATTTACAAGATAGATCGCTGTTATCAAATTATGTCTATTCTATTGATGCAAATATAATTCTAAGCATAGGTAAATCATTGTAATAGAATCACATTGTGATATATTTAACACAAATTTAACGAATTCTGATGCGTTTTTAATACTTTGCTTTTTAATTTTAACACTATTAAGTATACTGTGAAAATTTGTTGACAAAATCTTAAGGATTGAGAACAATAATAATTGACTTTAAAAATCTATACCGGTACAATGAATGCTAAATGCTAGTATTAATTAAATATGCTCAAATAAATTTTTTTCATTGTTTTATCGCAAGTATATTTTTGATAGTTTTCACAAGCTTCAAAACTATAAACAGTATTAACCCATGACGTTGCTAGTTTATATTTTTATCAAGTTTTATCATTAGTATAGTCAGTACAGTACGTCTACAAGATATGCAAGATATTGGTACTGTACATACATACAGTGATAATCCTTATCCTTAATTCGATATGTATGTATTACGAATCTATCCGTTCAAAATTAAAGGATACGGATATCCGAGTTTATCCGAATTGATCGAATTACGGATCGAAGCTCTAAAGAATAAAAAATCCGTCATATTGAAATTCATTTTTTGTTTGACAGGCTTGAAAGGAAAATCGGCCTTATTTTTTTAATAGCAGTCATCAACAAGATTATTTATTTTTAATATCACGTTACTATATCTTTTACTTTCCAGATGGAGCCTTCAAAGGTTTTAAAAAAAAATTATTTGCTGTTCTCAGATAAACTACCAAAAACAATTCTGTGCAGCCAATTAAATTGCAAAAAAGAATCGTTACGTAATAACTCAATATATTTTGTTTGAGCTATGCTTCTATCACAAAAAAAAATAAAATAAAAGTCTTGCAAAAAACTTTGGTATATGTATATTTCTTTTTTAGCGTCAACCTCGATTATAATATGGTCATACACTCATATAATTTAAAGTTTTACTACATAAGAGATTTCTAAATTTATAATTAAAATTAAGTCGCTTGAACAATGTAAAACTAAAAACACGCGTAGGTACGTACGTACACATGTAAACAAAGCTGTACATCCTGCATATTAAGACACAGATAATGCTTATCATTATTGAGTTTGTGGAGCCTTTACTTTAATCGTGAGATCCATCCACAAAACCAACTCCTCGTTTTTGAATGTGAGATATCCTTTTTCATGAGTAAACATCCAGTCACAGCTAACTTTTTCAGGGGCTTTGCCTTCCACCTTTTTTAATCCTTCATACTTCCAGTGAGTGTTGGTAAATCCGCAGGTGATAGGCGTTACATATTTTTTACAAATCGGGCACTGGGATTTATGCTCATCGTTAAAAAAATTGAAGTCTTGGTAACCCCACATAATTACTACTCGGCCTTTGTTGAAAGCTTCACATTCATTATTCTTACAATATCCTTAATAAAAGAAAACGTTCATTGAACTTATTTTATCTCTATTTAATCAAACAATATCAAACATTTACCTTCAAGGTTAAGACCAACCGTCGCACACCTCCAACGTGGAGCAATAATACTAAATTTTTTAAGCACCGGAGGTTTGGTTAAATCTTGAAAGTAATTAGCCATAACAGGAGTACTATAACCACCACAGAGTCTAGCATTAAGATGTAAAGTTGACCCCTTTTGGATCTTGTAGTCAGACACGGAGTGGACGTCTTCCAATTGTCTGCCGGAAAAAATGAGACGTTGTGAATCAGAGGGAATGTGTACCTTATTATACATTTCTTTTTTAACATCTTCAATACTATGATATGATTCGACTTCAAGAGCAATTGTCTCGCCAGTAAGAGATTTAACAAAAATTTGCATTGTAATTCAAAATTGAATTGCACAAGATAAAGAAAATGGGGTTTGCTTTTATCATTGAAAATCATAAAACAATCGACCTTTTAAAAATTACTTATTTGATTTAGTGCATCAATCATTTAATTCTAAATGTCCAAATGACCCCAAATGACCCCATCAGTTGTATTAATATGCCAGCCAATAAGATACAGGTGTACGTATAATTTTTTATATCAGGTCATTTAGTCATTTCAAACGTAAATGACAATAACCAATTCATTTTGCGTTAACATGCAACAGTAGATTTAGTACCCCAAACATTTTCTATAGAGGGTCAAGTCGTGATACAGGTTTTGGCCATCAATTTCGGACACCCCTATCAAGAATGCACCTGCTCTTAAATATATACTTGTTAATTGATAGCCAAAAAACCTGTAACTGCCGTAAAAAAAAATTAATTGAACTATGTGTAATAGCGATATAATTTTATTAACATAAAGAAAGTTATGCAAACCGCTCTTTTAAAGATAACAATATACACGATGTGTCCTAGTAGGGCTTAGACGTCAAATGATACGTTTATACTTGTTGGCAAAACTAAAAATCTTCAAAATTCCACCAAAACCCAAATCCCAAGTGGACAAACCTAAATCCCAAACTGGATAAATCACAAACCCAAATCCCAACCCCATTCCAAATCCCAAACCCATACATAATTAACTATAGCGGCTTAGCTATAGGCTATAGCTAAGCCGCTATAGTTATTTATGTGTGAGTTTGGGATTTGGGATGAGTTTGGGATTTGGGATAGGTTTGGGATTTTGGATGAGGTTTGGGATTTGGGACGGGTTTGGGATTTGGGATTGGGATTTGTTCCATATGGGATTTTTAAATATAGATGGACAATCCTATTTGTCCAGGTTTGTCCACAGCCCAATCCCAAATCCCATAGATTTTGCCAACAAGTATAGATACGTTCAAGCGCTCTAACCAATAGGAAGCAGATGGGTTTTGGCCGGGACAGATGGGTTTGATTTTGCATAGTCATTATATTCTTGGAATTATTTAAGGTATAGTTTTAAATTATTAGGGTACGATCAAGTAATTATTTTGTATATTTAACCAATTGAACATAGGAAAATATGGAGTTCACTTGCTAAGATTCAATAGCCCATATAGTTACTAAATTTAATATGAGCCTTTTATTTAAATTTTTTTTATTGGCTTAATGAATTACTTGATATTATAATAATAATTGTTTTGATTTAATGAGAGCTATTCTACGTATTATTTCGAATTTTAAATCTTATTTAATTGGTTGAACTTTTTTTCAATTTCATATTAATCAATTTTGTAAATTAGTTGCTATTGCACAGGATGTCCTTGAAGTAATTATCAACTTTTAGTAAATCATATTAAAAACATAATTTTAATATATTAGCTATAAGTATAAAATAGTTATTTATTTTAAAAACAAAGAATTGATTTTTGTGCTTTATTAGATATAATACTGTATAAGGTGCAAGTTTTATTTTACAGCTTTATAGTAGATAAGATATCATTTGCAAAAAAAATTAACAATTAGAATTTTAGTACATTATATTACTATTTATTTTATAATTTTTTTATTACAGTATCAGTAATACAAAATGTTAAATTCTAACTATTATTAATATAAAATAAAGATTGTTTTGTATTCTGATTCTATTAAATTAAAATATATTCCTATAAGCATAATAATTAAGGCTCCAGCCTAAAATATCCAGCAATCCAAGAATGTATTTAATTGATTTGTTTGGTTAAAGGCATTATCAAGCCAAACTGTTTAGCTATTTCTAGCATCTAAAATAGCATGACAACCACATTACAAAATTCGAATGGAATTGGTTTATTTTATTTTATATCTATAGAATAAAGAAAGAAAATTTTATTGAGTTCGGTTTGATTGTTTTCATGATATTGATAGATACTAGAAATTGCTGGACACTCTCCTCAATGGACTCCACAAAGAATGATTGGCAGCCCTAAATCGTATCGCAGCTAATTAATTTAATTCTGTAATTGGTTAAAAAATTTTCATAGGTGGATGATTATCGAAAAACATTGGCCTGCACTAGTTATTTTATGGCTGTATGCCAGCTACTTAAGAAGCTAGAGATTTATTTATTAGGTAAGCAGTATAAGAGTATGGAGGTAATACAGTATATACATTTATAGGTGCTGAAACAGTGATTTCCCAAAAGAGTAGGGCTGAGAGTCACTGTAACAAACCAGGTAGAAAATAGTTGAGCAATGTCAACGTGATTATCAGCCGGTGGTTTCCCGCCTGCCAAAGCAGGCCGGCTGTAAAATGGCAAAATCAGGTGGCTGTTCTCACACTGTCGGAAGCGGGCTGGGTGGGGCAAAAAATTAATTTCTTGCTAGAATTTCAGGTGAGAGTTATCATAGCTGATATTTCATGTATTTATATGAAAAGGGGTTGGTGGCTTGTTGTACATTTGCTTTATGCACAGTCTTGTGGCTGCCAATTGTTAGTGATGCTGAGCCTTCATATAATTGGTCTGATTTGTTGTACGCGTGATTTTGTGGTTGTTGATCATCAGTGATACCGGGTATGCATATGTTTTCATGCTTGAATACTTGAAATAGCTCTGATGTTATGTGCTTAATGGAGCTAGTTCATGTGTACTGATTGGAGTCGGTGCTGTAGTGTGTAACTATGCCCAGCCTTATTTTTCAATCAGTTGACTCTAGTTAACTAGCACGAAAAACATTGGCCTGCACTAGTTATTTTATAGCTGTATGCCAGCTACTTAAGAAGCTGGAGATTTATTTATTAGGTAAGCAGTATAAGAGTATGGAGGTAATACAGTATATACATTTATAGGTACTGAAACAGTAATTTCCTGAAAGAGTAGAGCTGAGAGTCACTGTAACAGACCAGGTAGAAAATAGTTGAGCAATATCAACGTGATTATCAGCCGGTGGTTTCCCGCCTGCCAAAGCAGGCCAGCTGTAAAATGGCAGAATCAGGTGGCTGTTCAAGGGTGATGTTTTGATTCGGCTGTTTTGTACCAAGGTTTCTTTCTTTTTTTGACTCTCGACGCTCATTGTCCACCTGATTGTTCTTTGACTTTCGAAGCTCGTTGCTGCAGGAGGCAGTTGGCTGAGTCGGTTGGTTGATGTTGGTGCTATGCAGGGCTACTTGTCTTGCTCGTTCGGCATCATTGTTTTGCTGTTCACTTCTTTTTTTTTATGTATTTTAGTTTTGGAGTTGTATGTTTTTTTTTTTTTTCTTCTTTTTTCTTTTTGTTTGTATGTGTCAATATATTGCTGCTATCGTTATTCTTGTCTCTCTCTTCTTTTTTTTTTTTTTTTTTTTTTTTTTTTTTTTTTTTTTTTTTCTTTTTTTTTTTTTTTTTTTTTTTTTTTTTTTTTTTTTTTTTTGTGTTTTTGGCTGTGTAAAATAATACCGATTGGACTGCCTATTCCAAGAGTGATAAAGCAAGTCAATTGGTGTATGCTTTTGTTAGGATTGAGGCAATCATTGCTGGGTGGCTGTGTATGTATCTGTAAAACGATTCAGAATCCTATCTGCCAATTTTTTGGATTAAGATTAGTTGGACGCCGTGTGTGACAAGCTCGGTGGTTCCGCCTGCCCAGAAGCTGTGTTTCGCCACGTCCTCGTTGGGAAGTAGCTGTTTGAGTTTGGTTATAAACCAGCATTTAGTGGCCCAGAAGTTGTTCTCCTTTACGAAGAGCATATTACTGTTGGGGCGTAAGTTGGTAGAGTGCGAATGCTGACATATGCTTTTATAGTACATACGGGACATAGTGCGTCATTGGTAGGGTGTATGATTAAGGAGGGGCAGACAGCAGATTTGTGGCTTTTTGTCCGGGGTAGTTGGATAGTTGTGAAGGTGCTGTTATTGGTTTTCTCAAATTTTAATGCTTTCAGAATAGGGACTTTGTTGGCGTCTGATTGGTTGTTTGGTAATAACTCTCCTAGCCTTGCTAAGCCGTAGAATGCTGAAAGGGCTATTGCTCAAAATAGGAGATCAGTCTTGTTGGTCATATTAAGTTGCTGTTTTATTTGTGTAAGATGATTTTGGGTAATGTGAGTTTTCTGATTTACTGGTTGGTGGAAGTGTGTTTCTTCGATAGTCTTGAATAGCTGTGTGATGAGGAGTCGTGACAGACCTGGGTCCAATCGTGGTGGTTTCTTTTGTGGTGATAATTCAGGGCGGACAGGTATGTGGTAATAGTGGGGCATGACACTTGTGTGGAGAAAGGTAATATACTTGATGAGAGATTGTGTAGATATGGGCCATACTGATCTGTCGCTGTTGGTCCATCGGTTAGAGATAGCGAGATTTTCGTATCGCTTAATTATGGCCTCGTAGGCTTTTCTGGAGAGGGTTGGTATGTTGAGTAGCTGTGCAGCTTGGGTGTTAAGGGTGGGTATGGTCCTGAAAGAGTTGGTTTCGATAGGGTTGGGTGGCAGTGATGGAGTGGGGTGCGTGTTGCTATGCCCTATTGTTTTAAAGATGGAATTATCGAGGTTAGTATTTTGTATGTATCCAGGATGTTGGGTTGGAGGTAACAGGCATGTAGGTTGTCTCTAATGAACTTTCGGTGTCCATTTCTTGAGAGTAAGTCTGCGTCGTGGTTGTGTATGCCGGGTATATGTTCGAGTTTAATGGCGAAGTTTCCTTGAACTTGTGAATTGTATATTAGAGCGATCAGTTCATTGATGTCGGGATTTTTGCAGTATCCGGCGTAATATGCTTCCGCGTTTGAGAGGTTGTCGGTCCAAATTATGAGCTTGTTTCTTTCCCACATTGGGGCGAAGGTGCGTATGGCAATGAGTGTAGTTAGGAGTTCGCATGTTTGGATGTTGGTTTTGTTGAGGTCGATATCGTTGGCCCATACAAAAGCGGTAAAGTAGTTGCGGTATACTGCCCCTCCGCCTATGTTGGATGCGTCCGTGAAGAGGTTGAGGGTGGTAGGCTAGTTCCATTTTTGGTCTTGTAGTAGGTGTATGCCGGACCAGCTTTGTAAGGTGGTTATCACCATTGAAAATCGCAGACCATGAGTTTGGTAATACGAATGTGAAACTTTGGGTTGTTGGCTATTTCTTGGGCTTTAATAAGGCGTTGAATGAACGGTCTTCCTTGTGGTATAATTTGGCATACCTATACTAGAAAGCCTACGATTGATTGAAACTCCTTGCGAAAGCACCATTTCTTGTTTGACCACTGGCGGACTAAGCTAATTAATTTTTCATGCTTTGAGAGCGGAATTGATACTTTCATGGTCTGTGTATTTAGCTTGATGCCTAAAAAAGTTACGTTTGTGTATAGGCCTTCTAGTTTTTCGAGCTTGTAAGGTACATTGAGAATGCTGAGGATGCGCAAAAATTGTTGAAACTCTCTTATTGAAGTATAGATTGGTGCCGTGGCGAAAGCCTTGAAGAATTTGATCGACAGGGTGAACAGAAAGGATTCTGTAAGCGTCTTTGATATCAATTTTTGACAATGAGCACCCGTTGCCGAAGTGGTTGATCCAACGTATGGCGTGGTTTACGTTTTCATACTTCGTGGAGAACTTGAGTTTGTCGATTCTGTCATTTATACTGTTTTCTGGGGAAGAAGACAGGTGGGAAATAACCCAGTATTTCTTGGGGTTGGTGTCTTTCTTCTCGACAAGGCTGCAAGGGTTGATCTGGAATAGGTTGCAAGGAGGGTTGTCTATGTGAAATGGGCCTCAAATGCGTTTGTTGGTGAGTTCTTCCGAAATACACATTGTGAAAGCTTCGGGTGCCAGATTTATTGACTGTAGGTTGTCCTGAATTAACCGGTTTCGTTGGCCTTTGAAATTAAACCTGAAACCCTGTTGGATGCCATTGATGATGTAGCTGATGAATGGCCAGTTGGGATGCATTTGTGTAAGAAGGTTAAGAGCTTGGATGTTTATAGGCATTTGGATATTAAAATGCACGGAGTCGAGTTGCCGAAGTAAGGTTGACTCGATGTCTGTCAAGGGTATGAGAGGTGGGAAAGCATTGGTGATTGTTTCATTAATGGATTGAAGTGTGGGAGGTTCGTCAGTTGTGATGTTTCATGATAGGTTGAACTGTGCTATGTGCTTGAATGTGGGATAGTGGGCTTGTGCCGTGCCTGCGATGAAGAGGATAATACGTATGAAAGTTAATATGGTTGTCAGTATGTTATTGACGTATTTTTCTCTTTTTTTTTTTATTTTTTTATTATAATTATTGTTATTGTCTATATATTTTTGTGGTTATTCGTTTTGTTTTATATTATCATTACTACATGTTATTATTATTATTATTATTATTATTATTATTATTATTATTATTATTATAATTATTATTATTATTATTATTATTATT